CTGGGGATCGGCTGAGTCTTCGAAAGCAACCTGCGCAATGACCGTGTCTTCTTCAGGTGTTGGCTGGTTGCTAATGAGGCGAGATAATGCGTCGGCCTGGCCGAAGTCGGTGGTGCGCCGGTACTGAATATCGAAATCATATCCCAGCAAAATCAGGGCCCATCTTTGCAGGCGGTTGGCAGAGTGCGCAGGAACACCTTTCTTTGAGCCGAAGATGGAGAGCAGTGGTTTGTGGTCGGTGAGTAGAGTGAAACGGCGGCCATAGAGCATTTTGTGGAACCGCCGAACCGCAAACACCAATGCCAACGCTTCTTTCTCTATTTGGCCGTATCGCTGTTCTGCTGGAGTTAGCGATTTCGACGCATGCATGATGGCTTTCTCTGATCCATCTGGGAAGACGTGTAGGATGACGGCACCGACTCCACAGTTGGAGGCGTCAGCTGCCACAATAATCGGTAGTTTCGGGTCGTAGTGGGTCAGCAGCATATCAGAGCTGAGCATGGTTTTCAGCTTGCAGAAAGCTTCCTCACATTCTTCTGACCAACACCAGGGGACGTCCTTTCCAAGCAACCGATTAAGCGGAGGCCGGATGTCGTGTAGCGCAGGCAGGAATGCCGAATAATAACTGATCAGCCCCAGAAAAGAGCGTAAGGATGGGACATCTTTAGGGGGCGGCATCTGCTGTATAGCTCGGATATTCTCCGGGTCAGGGTGGCGACCAGAGGCATCGAAGATGAACCCAAGATATTTCACTGTTTCCAACAAGAATTGACATTTCTCGGCACGGAGGCGGAGACCATTGTCTTGGATGCGTTTGAGCACCATATCGATTCGCGTGTGCAGTTCAGCGGGAGAGCCAGCGACAATCAGAACATCATCCAGGTATGCGGCCACACCTGGAATGCCAGACAGGATGGTGTCCATCAACTGCTGGAAGATTGCAGGGGCAGTTTTGATGCCAAACGGAAGACGGTTGTACTGATATAGCCCACGGTGTGTGTTGATTGTGAGTAATGGGCGTGATTCTGGTGCGACTTCAATCTGAAGGTATGCATCCGCAAGGTCGATTTTTGCAAAGAGCTTCCCACCATTTAGAACAGTGAACAGGTCGTCTGGCGCTGGTAGCGGATAGTGATGCTGCTGGAGAGCTGCATTTAGGCCGGTTGAGAAATCGGCACAAATGCGGATTGACCCGTTTGGCTTCTTCACCACGACGATCGGTGCTGCCCATTCGGAGTACGTTACGGGAGATAATACGCCTTGTTGTTCCAGACGCTGAAGTTCTGCATCAACCTGCGGCAGCGAGGCGTATGGAACTGGTCTCTTGGGGCGAAAAACTGGGATAGCGTCTGGTCGAATTTGGAGGGTTGCTTGTGCGGTGGAACAGCAACCAAGGCCAGGTTCAAAAACTTTGGCGAAGCGCCGAATAATATCACCGGCTTGATCTGGGGCAGGAACGTGAGAACGGACCGCGTTGCAGATGGAACTGAGTGGGACATCTGCCAACCCAAGACGGTCGAACCAATCAAGGCCAAGGAGGTTCAATTCGGCATCAGCAACATAACATGACCCAGTGAATGTCGTTCCATTGAATGAGACACAGCATTGCAATTCTCCAGAGAGCCGCAGTTCACCGCCACAGGCACTGATGGCGGTTCTGGATGAGCGTCGGATAGGTGGTCGCCCCAGCGTATTCCAAAGTTTCTCCGATATGATCGTGATGTCCGATGCAGTGTCCAACTGCAGTCGGACCGGGCGTCCATTGACCAGGACTGTGAGGAACTTCCGTTGTGACGGGGCACTGACTTGAAATGTTGCAAGCAGGCTCAAAGCGGAGCCCACCTGCTTGGAAGTCTGCGGGCGCCGGTGCTGCTTGGATGCGCCATGGGATGTACTGGCTGGGCGTGCCTTGCAGTATCCGTCTTTGTGGCCAACGGTCTTGCATTGTCGACATCGATGTTGTTTGTAGGGGCACAATTTGACAAAGTGCCAAGCCCCGCAGTGCCAGCATGGGGATGACGGCTTCTTCTTCTGGACGTTCTGCTGATTTGATTGGGCATTGCCAGAGCGCGACGGACCAGAGGAGGACGGGCCAGAGATTTGAGAGCCAGGTGGCTTGGAGGCCTGGCGAACCGCATGAACTTCGGGACCACCTTGGCCCCCAGATTGGACCAAAGTGGTGTCATGCTGTAGGTTAGTCAACCGTTGGTATTCGTCTGCGATGGCGTTGAGAGTCAGCGAGGGGTCTTGCTCCAGTCGGTTGAGCAAGCGCGTCCGTATGTCTGCGAACTTGGGAGATTGGAGGCTGCATATGAAAATCAGAGATTTGAACTGGTCAGTTGTGAGCGACTTCAATTTGAAACGTTCGCATTCGCGATTAACAATGCCAACGTGTGTCAAAAAGTCATCTGACTCGTTCATAACCAACTTTAGACATCGGTACCGCGTGTTGAATAGAGACGACCGTTCCCCAAAGGTTACCATAAGCGTCTGTACGGTGTCATCGAATGACCTGTCGCGTGGGTTCTGTGGCAGGATGAGGTTGCAGTACTTGTCCAGCTCTGCCGGGCCAAGTTTACGAAGCAAGAGCCGGACTTTCCATGCATCGTCCTGCGCAGCGAGATCAACTCGGAATAGGTCCTCGTAACGGCGGAACCACGTCTCGAACGTAACGTTAGCGTCTGGATCGTAGTTAAATTCCGCTATGCTATTCGCAATCGCATCTACCTGCTGACCGGGCGCCGGATTGGACGTAGCACTACTAGCGGGAACCTTTAGCTGCGCAAGCATCTCGATGAGTTTAAGCTGTTGCTCGAGCAGGGCCTCTACTTTCGCGGAATCCATTACGAGTAGAACGAACACCTCGTCGCCAAATGATATGTATCGGAATCGGGTACGATCAACGGATATACGCGACCTGAGAACGAGCGCACAACTCCCCAGCTATGACGCGAGCCCAACCACTCCTAGTGCAGACAGAGAAGAAGACCAGACCCTCAGAAGGGGGCTTTTACTGCCTCAACCATAGGCGAATTACAGTGGGAGCAACGTCGTATATATATATTTCGAGCGACCTTGGGAAGCGAAGAGTCAGTTAATGCACACAAAGTATAGCTGGCCAATAGGAAAAGAGCGCGGTCTTTACGGATTGAGGTGCAACATGGCGGAAAAGGCGCGAAATTTAAAAATTCAAAAATTTTTGAAAATAAACTGGCAATAATTCGGAAAATAAGCAGTTTTTGGGGATACTGACATCCCCAACAGCCCCATTAGTAATAGTCGCAATATTCGACTAACATGCGCATGATCAAAAGGTGCAGGAAGCCGTTACTTGAACCACTGCGACACCAGCCTTTTGCCAGTCATACGGCAGATTCAAACTCCACTAATATTGTGGCACCTAACCCCGGTACTTGAGTCGCAAATTCGAAGGCAATGATTAGCCTATTTAAGGATTCACTGACCAGAAATTTACACGTCATTGACCAATTCCTAAGCAGTACACAACCTCGCCTTAAAACACTCGGTTACTCCTCAACTATTTTAACTCTCCTACACGTTCTCGGCCAAATAAAAATAGCGACAAAGTGTACCAATATGCCCACTGATATCTGTAGTCAATTCTCTGCTCTTTAAAGCGTTCACGCTGGACTGTGTAAACAGAACACAGGCTAAGGTGACATTTTTCCTGATCAGTTCCGTTTTTTCATCAACACTGCCGTGGAATGCGCCCTTTAAAGAATTGTTTCATCAAGAATCCGGCCGATATACTACTTCAAGCAAACGGATTTGCGTATCACTTGGCGTACGTATGCTCCACGGCAACAGGAAAGCCGATAACAGTATCCTAACATTCTTTTACCTATATTTCTTTAGTTTTGTTCAAGTGCCTTTCTTGGGTACGCATACGATCAACGAATGGCCCGCTTCCTCAAGAGGAAGCCCTGTTTTCAATTTAGTCAAGGAGAATGAAGTATTTCCCTGTTCCTAAATGACAATGTAAGAGACCTGTTTCGCCGGAGGGAAGCTCGTGGTGCAAATGTGATATAAATCTTAATAAAGAGACTAGTGTTTAAGGGAAGCGATTCTAATAAACAAGATCACAGTTGCAGGGTGCCAGCTTAGAATATCTGGGGCTGGTCTTGTCACTCGTCAGACTCCAGAAATTAAATTTGACTTTTCAACGGAAAACTGCCCTGTGTCCTGCTTAACCGTTCAGCTTAAATGGCTTCCATATATTCTCAGGCGCACTGGATATCTTCATTTTTATAAATTCTATTTCCACGACACCTCTTGGTCTTTACAGAGGGCACTTTGAGCCGTTGGCCAGCACAGTGTCTGGCCAAAGTCTACTGTAGATTTAAGTGTTCTGCCTCCACTTATCAAGGATTTTGGTTGCTATACATTCCAACTGATTGGTGGTTTACGTTTGAACGGATCCCCACGAGGACCAAAAAATACCTGAGTTCTTACACTGGATTTGTTCTGCATCCGCAACTTCCCTCGTGCAACCCCGAAAGTCTCGCTGCTCGCAGAATTGCACATCCCTTCCCAGTTGCCTCATAAATGACTGCACTTAGACTAAGTTATCTGAGCGCAAAAACGACATGGCAATGCCATACACAGATTGATGGCATGCCCGCGAACATCTACTTCCTTGAGTAAGCTTGAACAATTTTTAGTAAACCTACCGCCCTTGGTAGATAATGAGTATGGTCAAATGCCAAAACGTTACGTGAGAGGTCCCTCCTTCCAACCGATGTTTTGTGAGAGATTTTCTGGTGTGCGTCTAAGCATTGGCCAATTTGACGAAATTAAACCAATTAAGACTATAATTGGGAAGTCAGAAAACTTTGTATTAAGCGCCTGCATCTTGTAAAATCAGTGGTAAAAACTAGGATGAAGTTGTGTGTTCTATCAAGTGCTCAAATTGGTTAACTAATTATCAATGTGGTTTTTTAGTTTGCCTAATCGAGTGTGACCTTTTTTAAGCCGCGCTACTCGAAGCTGGGTGATTTTACAAATAGGCGCGGGAAACCCTATGTGAGTGTGTTAGCTGTTATCGTTCTCACGAATAATGTTTTTTGTGTGGTTATCTGTGTTTTTCATCTGAGCTCTGCCCTTGTTCTGTGCAGTATGTGATCGAACCACAGTTGGAATAAGTATAAACTATTTTTTTCGTACGACTGCTTGTGGTAGGGTCAGCAGCATCGTTAGGCTTGAACGCAAGCAAAAATCTGAAGGCTTGTATTCTAGGCTCAGAACTTGTCCTTCATACATGCATTTTCAGGGTTAATAGCCGGATGGTGAAGAGAGAGACCATGATCATGGGTAGAATAGGTGTACATGTCACGTGGTAAGACCTAAACTTGACAAACACCTGCAGGTTTATATGAATCGGTGACGTGCTTGGAGGGCGATGAGCGTATTTGTTTTAAAAGTTATGGGTGTCTGACTGAGTTCGCAGGTGGTGGGCGAATGAGAATGGTAGTAATTTTTGGTGGTTGACTCCACATTCTGTGGTGACTTTCCAAGCCTAAAAAATTGCAAAGTATTGGGGCAGTTGGTTTCATTTCGGAGGAAATTTCCGGGAGGAGTGGATTTGACACAAACTGCGGACTCAATCAGTTTGTACAAAATGCTGGCTTCGAGTGAGAGTGAGAGCATTTTTATGGAAGACTGTTTCGATGTAGGCTATGATTCGAATTTCCTATTGCTGGATAGCTTTCTGCCACTGATCCTGGCTTCATTAATTTGTCGCCTTGCATATTGCTTTCATTAGATGACAGTATACCAAACCCATTTTCTTTTTTGGTTTAAATTCGTCTCGATATCAGTCCCCTTCCCCTGGCGGCCTGCTTTCTTTCTTCCGCATCCGCCTTCCTAACCCAAAGCAACTTAGGAGGTTTGGCGGCTCAAATGAGTTTGAGGACAATATGCACTGTATGGCCAGGGATAACTCTAGTGGACATGTACACGACTACACGCGTTCGATTTAGTCATCGTAATATTGTAATACGGCCGCAGTGAAAAATTTTCTGTCCTTACCATAATTCCACGGACAAAACAGCAATTGAAAGGACTCATGTTCCTACTATGTACCTGAAATACGGTACCGAAATCTAGCGGCACTTGACATTTCTTAATCTCCCTACGGCCTATGTTTCACTAAGCCCGATAACCAACTGCCACCCCGGCGTGGTCTGACAGTTGTAATGATCCCATTAAACTGGAGCTTCGTTCCTCGGGTCGTAGTATTTTTAGGAGGCCTGAGCGAATCAACCAGCCAAAATTAATGAGTCCACATACTGTAAACAGTCGTGAGAAGAAACGGCCTGGGAGTAAAGTCGTCCAGTACTCCGTGGTATGTATGAAAACACTCAGGTGTTTACTCTCGGTGATTAGCGTCGGCACTAAAAACCACACGTTCCGATCGCATAACGGTTGGCCGTGACCGTCATCATCATCATCATCGTCATGACCGTCGGCTGCACGGTGTTCAACAGTGACATCACTACCGCACAGCCGTGATTCATTTGAGAACTCACTTGTGGAGAAAATTAAAGGTGGACAGGGAAGGGACACAGTTCTAGCCCACTACACTCATTCTGAGATTGGCGCACTTCCAAACACTCGTTCAGACAATCATTGTAGAAAATAATGATAAGGAAGGTTGTGACACCGATTGACATCCATATCTCACAGCGTCCCGAATCATGTAAGATCCCGCGAACCTCATTTAGAAGGTGAGTCGTGCTGACGGTACCTAAACTCTCCATGATCGCTTTCATATCAGCCTAAAAGGACAAACATTGACTAATTCTATACGTTTACCACTCGGAATCTAGTACGTTTTCGGTAGGAAGTTATTTGGCATACGCAGAAAAAAAACATGGTGCTGGATACATTCTTCGGCTGAAACCCTTGTTGCACAACCGAACATGCCTTCTAGTTGTCTCGTTGCAGATTCGTCGGCATAAGCCTACGCGAACTGCAGTTCTGAGAAAGCGTTTACCTAAGACCTGAAGAAGTTTCAGTTTGGCTTATTTTACTTTTTTATCCACTCAGTTCGGCTGCTCGCAGAATTGTTCAGTTGTAGCACCCTTTTGGTGCCTAGTTGCCATGCCACCCGAAGGAAGCACGAGAGCTGGGATACTGCCAGGTCGCCCAAACCTAGACAGGGGGAGTCGAAAGGCAGAGATCGGACCTTTTGGTCAGTGAACTCGCGCTCTAACCATTGAACCATCTCGCTTGTGGAGGCCAATTCCCGCAACCACACAGCAAAACATCACGTAGTGTGGCCTGATTCACATCTTCCTTGAGATTCAGGATATTTCTCTTTGCAAAGATAGGTGTTTCAAATTAGCAAACGCGTATATTCGCCCCATTTGTCACACTATGGTCGCAACTCATAACTTCCAAGATACATAGAACGCCCCATAGATTAGAATATCTTTGTATGGACTATAGGTTGCGTGTTCAGTGAATACGTGCCCAGGCGCATCGCCCTACTCATTGTTGGTGCAAAGCGCGTCTCAAACTACGGAATGGCTTTGACTGGTTCACCCAAAACATGTGCGCCTTCTCTTGGTAGACGAGAACGATCTCGCCTGCATATTCAAGATCAACAAGGCTTTCGCCGGGAGCTATTTAAACACCAGAGTTCTGAAGACCTTCCAGCGTTCACATACTCGTGGCGTCTTTTGCCGAGGAGGCACGTTTAGGAGGACAGGAAGTCAAAAAATTCAAGTGCGCCTTAGAAACGCAGGAATGTTAAAATATTGACTCATTGTGTTGTCCTGGCACCTGCCAGAGTATGGAGATATCAAGACAAGTCTTACCTGGTCGGATTCCCGCTTCCTCCTTTCGAGTAAGGGCTTCACATGTCACCTAAGTGACACCAAGAGTCTCGTTGGGACTGGAGTCAAGCTGATACCTCCATGATTAACACATTCACTGTGGGCTCCTTTTTTGAAAACCGGCACCTTTACCCTCCCGATTTTTCAAGGGCTGCCTCGTTTTCTCAAAATGAAGAAAAAATATATCAGACCGGCATTGACTGAGGAACTCACTTTCTATCGTTGATCAATGTGGGTTGGAGGATCATCCAATCATAATCTCGGCGTGACCTGAGAGAAGATGTGCTGTCATCATCATCATCATCATCATCGTCGACAGCATGACATCAGTGTTCAACACCGATGCTTCATTGCCGTACAACCATGACTTATTTGAAAGCCTTATTTTAAAGAAAAGAATAAAGGTGGACGGGGAAGGGACTTAATGCTAGCTTAACACAATCATTCCGAGGTGCCTACACCTCCAGACATTCACTCAGGCAATCTGGATAGAAACTGACAACAAGAACGCCGCTGACATCGGTAGATGTCGGTAGATTTGCTGTCATAAACTTCCAGAGACGTAAGGGGTTCCAGGTTCACTGTTCAGGGTCCTTTTGGCGTTGAGAAATCCGAGTGATAACTGGTGGTCACAAGATTTGTTTTTCAGTCCGCGGGCGATTTTCGGAGAACGGTTGCACGGATCAATGAAACTAATCTTCGGGTATTCCTGGCATTCTGAAAATCTTCCTTAACTTTCCGTCAGCGGGCATACTATGTTCTGATTGAAGTCTGACAATTTGTTAGGTTGAATTGTGTTCATGATCGGCGGGAACATTTATCCGAGATTCTGACATCCATCATCACCATCATTGTCAGCTGTAATAACCGGTGGTTGGAGGCGTAGGTAGCTGCGCGTTCCAGGCGGGAGCTGATAAATTGGTGCATAAATCCAGCACTGTCAGTGGGCTGTCAAGTCAAGTGAAAAGGAGCTATGCATTGAAGGCAATAGCTTGGATGCACGAGCGCGACTGGGCCATATCTGACAATGTCTCTAGCCATTGATGTGGCCCGTCTCGGGGTCCCCATCCAGGAAGACGGCAAGGACCAGCGCAGCTAAGTTGGCTGGTAATGGCTTTCATACTTCTCTGCCAAGTCATTGGTTGACCGCCTCTGACTCTCTTCCACCCTTCACGTGGTTGTGCGAAAAGAGCCCTTCGAGGAAGTCGGTCGACTGGCGTACGCAACACGTGGCCAAGTCAGCGCAACCTATGAAGCCTGATCAGTTCATCTATCGAGGGTGAGTTATTTCTCCCACATACCATTCGACGTACTTCAGAATTGCTGATCCGGTGTTCCCACCAGATTCGGGCAATGCTCCGAAGACATCGCTGGTCAAACACTGAAAGTCTTTTGACGTCCTCGGTGCGCAGCGACCAGGTTTCTGACCCATATAGTAATATGGAGCGCACCGCAGCATTGTAAATTCGACCCTTGACAGAGAACCTGA